ACATGAAGAACATGGTGTCCTACACTCCTCTCATCCTGGACCCAAACACTGCTGGTTCAAGACTCATCCTGTCTGAAGATCTCACCAGTGGGACTAGAGGACAGAAACAGAAACTTTCCGATAATCCAGAGAGGTTTAGGTCTTGGTGCCATTCTATTTTGAGTTCTGAGGGCTTTAACTCAGGGAACCACAGCTGGGATGCTGATGTCGGAGACAGTGAAGGTTGGAGACTTGGAATCTTAGCAGAATCTATGCAGAGGAAGGACTACATAGGTTCTAGATGGTTTTATATATGGTTCTATGAAGGTAAATACTCAGCATGGTCTCCACCATCTCCTCCCAAACTTCTCTCAGTTCAGAAGAAGCTCCAGAGGATCAAAGTCAATCTGGACTGGGACAGAGGAAAGCTGTCCTTCTCTGATCTGGACACTAACACACACATACACACCTTCACACACACCTTCACTGACAAAATGTTTCCATACTTTTCAACAATGGGAAAAGTACACATCTTACCTCTGAAGATCTCAGTGAGCAAACAGCAGCTCTGATGTTCTCAGCATGAAGAACACAAAGTCTGATTGAAACTTATGAGTTTAGTGAGAAAGTGAGAAAGTCACATGGATTTAGTTTGTGTTCAACTAACGTTTTTCATCTGAGGGAAGAATTACTTTGTTTAAAGCGGGACGCTTTTTTTTAATGTGTCTGTAAGTTGGCTTGAAATGGGGACATAAACAGTCAAATGCTTCACAGTGTCTCTGTTACTGGAGGAAGTGCAGCCTCTCACTGTAAGGGGATGTCTTCGATCTTTTAGGGACATAATTCAGTTGCAGATCATAGCAGCCCATATCCATTGAGTGAGACCCAAAAACATCCCTTTCTGTTCCCACATACAGCTTCATCAGCACTAGACATCTGATATATTTCTACATGGAAATGCAATTTGTTCTTGGAATAGATCATTTGATAATTCTTTGCATCCTTTTATAGTTCTGAACTGTCCATAGTGTCTTTCTATATATTGTGATCTCTGCTGATGCATTTTATGGTACTCCTATATATTGATTGCACCACTCTATCTGTGATTTACCAAGTCTGCCAAGGTACACAACAGAAGGATTGATTGACTGATTGGTCACCACAAATGACTTTCACCAGTGAGTTTGGTGACCACATTCTGTTGTGTAATTTGCTATGCATATGCTGGTATCAGTCCATGTGTCAAAAAAATGGTTGTGGCAGCCTGCATGGAGCACTAGGATGTGTTTGGGAAAGCGATGTTCTGTCACTATGCCTGAGTGATGAAGCACCTGAGCTACTTGGCCAAGGAGACACCCCTTTGACCTACTGTTCAGCATGCATGACTTTCACCTTGGAATCTGGAGATCGATCCAGCCTAGGCCTGCTCTTTTTCACCTTGCCCGACTAGAATTGTGCATACTCCAACCTGAGCAGGGTTTATTATTTTTGTTTGCTTGGTTGGCTATGTTGTGGAGGAATTGGTTTTCTGATATTTTAGGTTACATTCTGATATGCTATATCAGGTTAAAAATGTTTTCAGGTTTTCTGTTCATATAGTTCTGTTTTCATAGAAAAAGAAATAGATTTAAATAGTCTCAAACAAATCAGCCTGGATAGTTTCAAATCGTGCTATAAGGAGCCCCTGTCCCGATCTGCTCTGATAGCTGGCCTTAATTGCTCATTTCACTCATCTGCCTAACTTCCCGGTCTCTTATTATCACTGATCTCATCCACCTGTGTCTCTTCTTTTATATATGGCTCAGTTCCAGCTATTGGGGCCAGGTCATTCTTTTTTCCCTGTTTGCCTTCTGTTTTTGTCCTGTCTGGCCATTTTCATTAGTTTTCAGTTATTTCCGAGGTTAATGTCCCTGTTTCCAGTAGGAGATTGTTTTGGAGCACTTGTCTTCAGGCGAGTTAATTCCCTAACTAGTGGTGAGACTGTTTCAGCGTTTTCCGAGTCATTCTGATTTCCTGATTCCCAATTTTATTGATTTTCAGAGCAGGAAGCTCAGATTTTGAATTGAAAAAGTTTCCTGGATTGCAAGCGAAACGTCTTCAAACTTGGAAACAAAGTCCAGTGGATTTTTTTAACCTTTTTAGAAAGTTCAGAGAAATGACCAAAAAACCCATAAGTTCAACCTCAGGAAGAATGTTTTTAATTTTTATGTGAAATGTGAACTGATCAGAGCTCAGAACCCTCTTAGCTGTTGCTGTGATTTTATTTAAAATGGCGGCTTTGAGTCTTGTAATGGAGTTGTCAAAGAACAGCTGAGTAGGTAAAGATGAATCAAGGTGTGTTTCAGGTGTTTCCCAGCTACATCTCAGAAGAGCAATGAACGGTAGAGATGCTCATTAGGAAGTGAGTCTGTTGGGCCCCAAGTATCAAGGTCCAAACTGAAGAGTTCGAACTCACCCTGCTCTGTAGAGGATAGGAGATAGATAAAAAGAAAGGGGAAAAAAAAAAAAAAATGTCTTCTGGAGAAAAGCTTTATGGTCTTTTGAGTCTCAAATATTTGGGAGGAGTCAGGGATATGATTCCAAGGCTAAGTGGATGGTACAAACTGTCAGGCACAGTGGTGGCAGCATAATTCTGTTGGCAGATTTAGAAACAATTAAAAAGAATCAGAATAAATGAACAAACAATTAAATTAATAATTAGTGTTTTATTTTGTTGAAAATAACAGAGAAGTTGGTTCCTACTTCAGTCGTGTCAAAACAGGCAAGAACGTCTTCTTTTTTTGCAAAATTAATGAAATAAAGACAGAAATAAAACAGCAGAGAATCAGGAAAGCTAAGAGACCAGATGGACATGAACGCTCAAACCACGAAGGAGCAATCTATGCTGAACCATCTGATCATCTCACAGCCGAGACAGATTCTGTTTCCTGAATTCACATAAAAGAACAAAAACGAAAGGAACTTTTAGCAAAGCAAACATACATTTTAATGAATAAATGTATAAATAAAAGGAGGAGTAAAGAGACGATCAGCAGATGTTTCAGGCCGAAGGGTTCTGGATGACGATCAGAAAGTAGTCCTTATCTGTAGAGAAAAAAAGGGGCAGAACCCAGAGATTAAAACCAGAACACAGACATCCTGAGCTGCTCTGAGGCTGGAAATCATCTCTGATTCCAACATGAAAACAAAAAAAGAGGTTAAACCATGAACCTTCATAATGTTTTGAAGCACCTCTGCAGGAAAAGGCCCATTTGGACCAAGCTAACTCTAACAGGACATGCTGTGTTCAGAATCCACAGCTTTGTTCTGATTAGGGAGAATAGGGGGATATCTCTTTACCTGGAGCGATCATGATCTCGTTCTTCTTGGTGCGGATCCGCAGGAACGTGAGGTCGTCCTGCTGGTCCAGGTCTCTCACGGTGACCCGGGCCTTCATCACCAGCTGGTGGGTCAGAGCGGAGTACTGCAGCGTGCTCTGGTCGTCCATGGTCGATTTGATGGGAATTCCTGGAGAAAATGACAGCCAGCAATGCATCATGGGAACCACTTTAAGTCTTAAGCTACGTTCACACTACAGGTTAAAAGGCTTGGTTCCGATTTTTTGCCAGGTCTGCTGCTTTTGTGTGGCTGTTTGCATGAACGTCTCAAATTGTGACCCGCATGCGCAAAAGAACAATTACAAAAAGTGTCCAAAGTCAGAGTCAATGGATGGATTTAAGCAGTTAAGCAGTGGAAGTAGCCGGATGAAACAGCAGACAGTGTGGAAAAGGAGACAGAGAGCTGAACTATTAATTACAGCTTTTGGAGGAGCAGTGGCTGCAACGATGGATCAATCAAAGGTTGTTATAATTGCCTCCACCAAGGAGGTTTTGCTTTTAGTCGAGTTTTTGTGTGTGTCTGTCTGTCTGTCCGTCTGCGTACTGGATATCTTGAAAAGTTATGAGCGGATTTTAATAATATTTTTAGCAAAGGTGCACCTGAGTCCAATGAACAATCTATTCATTTTGTAAAAAAAATTTCACAACACAATGTAGACTTTCTCTCTGATGGATTCAGTTTGTGTTCAATAAAATGTTTATATTCAATTCGATTGAGTTTATTTCTATAGCGCCAATTCACAACACACGTCATCTCAAGGGACTTTACAGTTCAACCAGATCATACAGTCAAATTGATTTAGTTTCCTATCTAAGGAAAACCAGTTGATTGCATTGACTCAAATGCATTCCCTCACACTAAGCATGCTTGTAGCGACAGTGGAGAGGAAAAACTCCCTTTCAACAGGAACAAACCTCCAAAAGAACCAGGCTCAGTGTGAGCGGCCATCTACTGAGGCCGACTGCGGTTCAAGGAGACAGAAGCAGAGATACAAAAAGCAGCTGTAAAAGGCGTTTATATGAGGTTTGAATCACTTTGTTCTAAGAGGGAAGTTGTTTTTCATGTTGCCATAAGTTGGTTTGGAAAATAAACAGTCAAATGTGTCTCTGTGACTGGAAGAACTGGGAAAACTGTAAACCACAGATTAAATGTCCTCCATCAAACTTTTCTCTTCTTTCTCCAGGAAGTTCTGGTCATATTCTCAGTCCATCTGGAGGTAGGCCCTGAAAAGTGTTGAGCCTCACTACTATGAGAAGGTGGATGGACTGTTAAACACAGATTAGAAAAGAATGACGTCTGGTAAAGTAGTGTTTTTAAACTATAAGCTGATAAACTCTCAGGACACTGCCAAAGAGGAGCTCCTTAGAGCATCTGGGATCCACCAGAGGTTCTCCTTTAAAAGAATATTTATCCTCTATAAAATCTGTGGAAACATGTCCCAGCAAGGTACCATATTCTTCAAATTCTGATCAAAGGTTGAGTACAGCCTGCTCTAAACAACCAAATAGCT